GAGATGGATAAGTCAGAGCTCCGAGTGACGTCACTCACTGGGGAGCTACCTTGGGACTGGTTTCCGTCGATCTGAGGGTGCTGATCGCTCTCCAGGAGTAGAAGACATTCTCTTACCAAAACCCTGGCTTTGCCGATGTCCCGCAGCAGACAATCCTTGCGGGGTCGCACTCCAATCATTGTTGGCGGCAAATGGGGTCGGATTTCGGTCAGGACATTCAGTAAATCGGTGTACTTGTCCTCTATATTGGTGTTTTCATCCACAGCTGAGAAGGTGTTGTATATGGAAGTTAAAAGAAGAGGGTACTTGTAACCAAAAATACCTACTATAGACGTGGGCAATATCCCAAACAAGCTGCCATTAAGTCCAGCTCCTCCACCACAGTTTGATTGACTGGTCAGGATCATCCGCTGGAGCTGAGACTGCATGTACTTGGTGTACTCCAGTTTGGCCAGCACTCCTTGTACTCGTTGGCGTATACCAAGGCAGCTGCGCTCTGTTGGGTCCTGTGGCGCGTAGCCATCAGTTGATTAATGGGTGCAGTGGCAGAAGCTCCTCCTCCAGGGATTCTGGTAATCTCTACACGTGGCTCCTGCGACTTGGCTGCTATCTTTCCCTCCTGCTCAATGGCTTGCTGCTGATGTTCATCATTCCGCTTGGAGCTACTTGGCACGGCGGTCACAGTTAAGTCGCTGTACTTTGAGCGAAAGGATTCAATATCAACGTAATCCATTTTTGGGAAATGCAAGTTCGCGAAAGTACAAGGTAGTAATTTTAGGAATGACTTGACAATGACACTGACAATTAAGACATTTTTGTGAGATGGCCTACTTTGATTAGTAATTGGTTCTTAAAAATATATTGAGCTGAACTTGAGCCTAAAATTGGATGTAAAGCACACAAGGTGAAGTCATATAAAAGAGCACCGGGACATAAAAAAAGAAGTACCATACACGTGACTGGGAGCTCATTGAACTGGAAGATGTGCAGAGAGGTAGTATTTTTTGGTACCAGTTTTACCTTTTGCCCCCATAAGAATCTTTGTTTCCGTCTTTCTTTTGGGGTATCGCATGACGTGCGGGTAATTACCAGCTGCAGAACAAAACACGTTCATAAACAGTTCATTCTGTTGGCCATTCCTCGTTCTCTTACTCCCGCGGGAGCTGCTCAAGCGTGCTTCCCGTTCTGCGCGCAGGCGCACGCAGAGAGTAGTAGGCAGCATTTCCCTTTTGCGCAACAGTCACCCAATTTTCATGACTCATGGAGTAATTCGAATAACAAGCCGCTCGATCGTCGTCGTGGTTGTTTTACTTATTTCACATGCAAATTTTTGGCCAAAACTCGGGAGAGAGCTTGGACTTAACAATCTTCGGCTGGTCCGAATAACAATTTAGGGGGCTACGGTCTGCACTTAGGGGATAGTTAATTGCTACTCTGATGCTGCGAGCGGATGATCTCTTGCAGGTTCCGTTCCGTCCTCTCGCCATTTCAAAGCGATGGTAGTCAATGACCTCGGTCGAGTATTCCTGCAAAACTTCACCAACTGTCTTGTCCGCATCCAGCAGATACTCCTGATGGATCAGGCACGTCTCCTCATCCTTGTTCTCCGCTGGCTGGTCCTTGTCATACTCGCCGATCTTCAGTGGCTTCAAGCCTACAATCTGCTGGCAGATGCTCTTGTGAACTCATAGTTCAACAGCCTGTGTTCGGTCCGATAAGCCACAATCGCTCCGTACTTGCCCACCTGGGTGGTGTCCTCAGTGGAGCCAACATTGGTGGGTGCCGGATGAGCATAGCCCACAAGTTTCAATCGTTGTTGACTCTGAACACAGTGCCCGGCGAATGGCAGCATTCTCGCCAAGAGCTCCAATCAGCAGGGCCTGGTGGTCGCCCAAAGTGCGGCCCTCTTCCGTGGGCAGATTCTTCAGGGCATCCGAATCGAAGCCAAGCTGGATGGAGATATGTTATTTCGTGTTTCATCTCACACATATATCCTCCTTACCTTCCACAGATCCCCATCGAACTCTGTCAAATCAGTGTAGTACAAGCAAACGCGGGCAACATGGTCCACGAACCGCTTGAAGGTGTCGTTTCTGGCCACGAAATCCGTCTCACAGTTAATCTCCACATAGCTCCACGATTGCCGCGAACGAGGACACCAATTAGACCCTGGGCTGTTGCCCGATCCGCCACCTTAGTGGCCTTGCTCCAGCCAAGGGCTTGGGCCTGCTGATGGAGCCATTTCTCAGCCTGCAAGGGATATAGTTGGGTTTATAATTGAGGAATGGAAAGTATTTCTTGCTACTCACATGCTGATATTGTTGTCGTTCAATTCGAGGGCCTTCTTGCAATGGGAGAAAGTGTAGCCGGTCTTCTGCGCATGCCGCTAGTGCGCTCTTCTCCAACCCGATCCGCTGGTGGCTCTGCATATAACTGCCGGCTAGTGTGGCATTGCACGCATGCAGAATCTTTGTAGCGACATTTTTTCTTAAATTTCCAAACCGAACGGAGGTTACACTTTGAAAATGGACTAAAAAGCAAAACTAAACCGAATCCGGACAAATTTGGAGGATGTATGTTTGTTTGTGGACTTGTTGCTCCTTGCCTGCTACCAAGGGCAACGTTACGGTGTTTGTTTTTTCCGGACGCTGTTGTTATGTGTCTGTCTGGCCACGAAAATCAATTCATTCTAAACAACCGGAAAACGTGTGTGATTTTCATTTGTTTTCGACTCCTTCGTATGTGTGGATCAAGTCGGTACAATTAACGCGTTGCGGCGCGTATTAAATATATAAACCGATTGTTGTGTCGTGCCTCGCCGAGAAAACGACTAAACCGGTGAGTAATATTAAACGGTTTTCACACTGTTTTGTTTTTGGAAGGCGACAAATAAAATTTGGACAATTTTCCGGGTTGCACAATTTCAATTAGAGATGGCAAAAAAGCCGGGACAGACTCGTGTGGCGAACAGCTGTTTGGTGTTATCGTTTTTTTATAGCCATCGATAGTTCGATAGTTACTGTTTAGTAGAGACCACAACCGTAACCGTTTATTTTGAATATTAATTTAAATTATATTTTTTTTTGTATTATTGAAAGTTAAATTAAAATAATTTCAGAAGACAGAAAATCTTTACCCTCAGTATCCGTTACAGTATATCAGTTTATTCTTTTACATTTACATCAGAACTAAGCTTCATTTACTTTCAACATTTCAAAACATTCTTGAACTTCATTTAAATTTCAACAGGTTCCACCATGCAGGGCAGTCACAATCCGAACAATGAGATTCGCATCCCCAGCTTCACGTCAATATGCGGCGCCCACCGCCCGTGCGACAAGAGCAAGATGCTTTACACCAGACCCAAACCCGATGTGCTGCAGAGCATCCTGCAGTCCAAGGCCAATCCCGGATACAAGTCGCGCCGCCTGTGGTACGAGCTGAACATGCCGGAGTGCGCCAGCTCCCTGCTGGACGGGAAAATGCAATCCGACCTGCCCAACAGCATCCTCTGTCCCAAGAATCTGCCGGCCGCGAAACGGAAGCAGAAACGTGACAGCGCGGTCTCCAAGACCAACTACATGACGATGCGCCTGGAACGAGAGCATTTCCGGCGCAAGCTGGTCGAGTTGATACTGCACATGGACGATGACCAGGATCCAGAGTTGGCCGCTCAGGGTGCCGTACCCTTTCCGGATCAGGAAGAGCGTGAAATTTTGCGCTATTACTACTACATAAAGCACGGCATCGACACCATTCACGTTTCTCCGTTGAGCAAGAAGATCCTTAAGAGGTATGTACGTGAATTGATATCTTGGGTGCTCCAAAAATTTCGAATTAATTTAAAACTGTCCAAACGAGTGCCAAAAAAATAATGAACTTGACCTCTAATATTTCGTTGCCTACTTTTGATGGATTTTAAATCTAAATTCTATTATTTCTTTGTGCATTTTGCTCATGAAGTTAATATATATAACTAGCTGACCCGGCAGACTTCGTACTGCCTCATCCTGAAATACTGGCTATTTATAAGGTTTAAATTTGATATTCACAGACACACACTGTTAAAATACAGTCTGTTAATTAATTTAAAGCTTTCTCATAAACTATATTTTTGTTTTGTTTTGTGGTGCGTAAATAAACAAAGAAGACGGTTTTCCGACGCGCGAACACGCGACGTATAATTGTCCATGCGCGAAACGGGGAAACTCCAAGTTGATTCCACAAACTTCTAACGACTGTCCTTGCGATTTATTTATGGTCATCGCAAAGGCCAGACGCACTGGAAATTGTAACCGTTTAAAATCGAATGGTAAGTCCGTTGGAATCATCGGTATCCGCGGGATCAAGACATCCTCTCCTTTGTATTTCCTTTTATGATTGTCGCCTCAATGACGTTATTCATCAGTCTTTTCACAGCCAGTCTTGTTCCATTGCATAGTCGAGGTTGATTAATGTTACGCAGCATGATGACAACTGATCCCACTTTTAACTGCAAATTGTGAGGTGGTAATCCAGGCAATTCCAGTGAATTTAAAAACTCAGTGGGATAGTTGACTACGTCATCCTGGTTCATTACGGTGTCGACTGATTTGAAGGAAACCAACTGTCCTGGAAGAAAATTCTGAATGGTCGCATTAAGATCCTCGACATCTTTATTTTTCGCTGCTAATATTGCTCGTTCACCCAGCCAATTATGGTTATTGAACTTTTGCGCTATATCTGGGAAAACTCGCTGAATAAGTTCCACTTTTGAGTCTGTGATGTGACAGAAATCTGTAGGTAATGTGATGAATCCGGTCGAGGTGTCCACTGCAACTTTATTATTTCCAATGTCTAACAACTGCTTCGCAAACACATATGCAGTTTCATCTTGTTGCAAAAATACTCGCATGTTAGTTGTTAAGTGGAGTGTCTTTACGTACTGCCACAAATTTGATGATTTTAGGCATGCATTTAGTTCAACAGCAACAGTTGATCGGGGAATAACTGGAAGAGTCTGACGAAAATCACCTGACAACAGAATCATGGCCCCACCAAAAATATTTTGGTTGTCACGAAGATCTTTCAACGTTCGGTCCAGTGCCTCCAGTGACCTCTTATGGCCATTGTGCATTCATCCCAAACAATCAATTTGCATACCTGTAGGATCTTGGCCATTGCGCTATTTTTGGCGATGTTGCAAATTGGTGTTTCTGTGATTTGCATGTTTAGTGGTAATTTCAAGGCAGAATGTGCAGTCCGCCCGCCTTCTAGCAGAGTTGCAGCTATTCCAGATGAAGCCAACGCTAGAGCAACATCATTTCGCGATCTGATCCTCGCCAAAAGCAATGAAATTAAAAACGTTTTTCCGGTTCCTCCGGGAGCATCAAGGAAATAAATTCCACCAGATCCACTGTTCACAGCTTCTATCAAAGTGTCGTACGCAAATACAAAAGTAATCCAGCCCATGACTGCAGAGGAGTTCCTTAGATCCTGTAAGGTTCTGTTCACGGCCCGTCCCGGCTTCGCACGGGCATTAAACATTACATTTAGATTTGTCAATTTTAACACATTCATAATAATAATAATAATATGACACAAATTCATCCTTTATTATTATTTTATTTTTTCAATTATTGAGGTCATAACCCTAAAAGAAAATACATTTATTTGTTAGAGCTTCTCTGTAAACAATATTTGATGTTGTTTTATTTTGTGGCAGCAAAATAAATTGATTTTCAGGGGCTCCGA